GAAAAGTTTGATCATAGATTGTTGACAAGCTGAAAACACAAATTTCGCCAACAAACAACGCAAAAAAATAGCATAGCGTGCTGTTTATATACTGCCCCAAAGCGCTTCAAGCACTCTCTCCCAGCATGCTTACCTTCGCTGTCCTTCCTCTCCATCCTCAGGAGCTTTAAGCTCACACAGGCCTCCAGCAGCCTCTCCGTTCCACTGGGGCTGGTGCCGAGGCGTTCGGCAATGGCCCCTGAGCTCAGGGGTTCTCCCGACTCCAAGAGCAGATCAAATACTCCCAGCTCACAGGCAGTGAACATAATCTGGGGGGAAAGTTGGAATAACGTAGGGACTAAAGAGACGGTTATTGCAATCTTTAAATATTTATCTATTTTAAAATGTGTGTGCCCATGCAGAAGTGAATAAATACAATGCTAGAAAAGCAGACGTTTCTGAAGGAAGAAGGAAGCCAGGGAACCTTTTGTCCATTACTGTGTTTGGGGTGTCCTGGTGGGCCTTATTCAAAACAAAGCAGTTCCAATCAGGCTCTTACTGAAATCTTCAATGGAACTGCTATATGAAGTTTCAGTTCTTGACAGGATATGACTCCTGTGATATTTTTTTTTAAAATCTGCCTACCTATTGAATGATAACAGAGCAAATTTAAGCCCACTCTACACAAACAGTAGAATGACAAAAGTAATGGGGGTGGAAATGCTTCAGAGCCTTCGCGAAGCAACATGAATTACTTGATGTTTAGTTCTAAATATTTTTATCCAGTGCCTTTTAAAAGCACAACATTTTAAAGCAGTATTCCTGTCTGCTTCATTCTGATTTCACTTGCAGTGAGAACAAGAACTAGCCAACATTTGAAGAAGAGCAATCATCTGCTAATATTTAATGAATTGCGTCCAGAAAATAGTTGTTTTTTAAATTCCAGACACTCATGAAAAAGTTAAAACTTTAAAAGTCATTGCAGGCTTTAATATCTGTATGGGGATTGCCCATGGCTCCTACCTTTGACATGAGAAACCCATGCTGCTGCCGAAATAAGGTTCTAATAGTTTCTGTGTCTTCTGTAACACTCATTCTTCTTTGCTGCTGTCAAGATGCACTGGAGTTATTGACAGCGGAGTCCGTATTTTGCTAGAGACAATGCCCTCCCTTTGATAGTATCAGAAGGAGCACTTTGAACCCTAGGGTGTATTTATTTGATGCTTGGCTTCCTTGCAAATGCTTAGTCCTTAAAATAAAGTGTTAACTCTTTGGTGTCCAAGTCAGCAGATCTGATTTGCAAAAAAGTTTGACCGTTGTTCAAATAATTCTCTTCTAAAACTAAAAGGAGGTGTAAAAAAGGACAAATGCCAAAATAACTATATTTTCAGGAAAACATACAATAGGGACGTTGAACTACAGAAGGAAGACAGACAGAGTGACCATTCCTTATTTGGACTATAGGCTAGAGCGATTCGAAGGGTTGTAGTCCAAAAGAGGGAACGTTTCTGAACTGTAGAGAAAAAGAACTGGTATGTTCAAATGCTATGACCAAGGACATAAGTGATAAAAGAAACACTTGCCATTGACACAACTTGATAGAGTGATAAACCAGGAATTTCTCTGCTATGAAAGAGAAGCTGAGAATTAAGGATTTTTTGGAGGGAAGGAAGGAACCGGACTGCCTGCACGAGAGAAGCAGAACTGAAAGCAGTTTTCTGCCATGGCGCTCCTCCATGGGGTGCACAAACTGCCAAAAATGGCAAAAGCCAGGAGAAGGCAAAATAATGAGATTTGCTTTTCCAGTTTTGAAAAACAGCTGAAGCTTCCAAAGGTGACTTCAGAGTCACATCTGACCTCAGGGCTTAGCTTTACCCATTCCTGTTTTATAACCTGGTAGCTTCCAAATATGCTCAGAGATTCTTAAACTACAAATTGTGGAGGATGACCCCTTCCCAGGAAAAATTAACTGGAAAGCCTTTAGCCTCATGATTAATACTAATTACATTCTGAAAAGAGTATAAAATAGTATATATTCTATAGTGTCAATGAAAATAACATGCAAATGTATTGTATCCTCAGTGTATAAAAGCCTTGGTGATACAAGGAACTGAGCTGAGCTTGGTCTGGGAGGAAGTACCTTGGGATGAGAGGCCTCCTGACCTTAAACTCGTAGGCTTTTCATTGGTTAAAAATTATAAACTCTAACCAAGTTTGGTGTGATAAATGATGCAGCAATACACCATAAATATAAAGTGCACATGCAGTGATATCTAATGGAGAGATATTTTATTGAAAGGGAATGAAAGATACAGATGCTCTGGGCGGATCCAAGAGATAACATGGACATAGCATAGTTATTTATTCCAACTGGCTAAAAGCTTGTCAAGAAGATAATATTCAGTGTTAACATGCTTAGGGCTAAGAAACACTTTTATTTTGTATATTTTTACGTTTAAAGTTTAAAAACCTTTTCATGCCTTTCCTTGAAAGTTATAAGGCTTTTGCTCAATACAGTTTTATTCTTAAGAACTCTGGAGTGTCCTAGAGATGTATTCTCTGACTTTATGGGCTATAAGCTCCTATGTTTTAATGCTTTTGTATTTTGATTCATACCTGGCTTACATTCTGTCCATTATCAGAGAGAGGCAAGGATGCATTTTAAGGAAGCCTGCAGTATTTTAAGCCTACAATCTTTGCATAGCTGTATACAATTTGGATTTAAGCATATGCAGCTACAATTTTTCATCACAACTGTAAGACAGTCTTTGAAATCTTTGGCATTAAGTAGGGAGTCTAGAAATGATGTAAATAAATAGAAATTGTATAGAATTAACAAGTTCTGGAGTTGTCTGGAATTATTGCAAAACTTAAGATCCTAAAATCAGATACCCTGATGAGCTGAAAGAGCTTGTTCTTGATTACCTGATTTTAATCTGGGATTAACACTTTACTGAGATAATGTCAACTATGATGAATCATAGGATCTGTTCTTGTTGCCTGGGAGGTCTATAAATCTTTGTAGGACTCCTGGAGGAGTCAGTTATCCTAATCAGGTTCTGACATCATCAGCAGAAACCACTAGTTGCAAGGTATATCCTTATGTCCATAGGTCTATCTCATGCACCATCATCTTGCTTTCTAACTTGTTATTTGTCATGAAGTCAAAACTAGCTTATAGTGACGCTAATAGGGCTTCCACTTCCAAAGTAGGTGAGATTTTTTTAAAAAGAGTGGCTTTACCAGTTCTACACCCCCATGAAGTTCCATGGCTGAGGAGGGATTTCAAACCCAGGCCTCCTGAATTTTAGTCCATCATTTTCTCCACTACACCACACTGGGTATCAGCTTGCTAAGTACTCATTATCAAATCCACACATTTCCAAGGTGGTGCTATGAGACAGTGAGAAAACTGCAACTGCATTTCAATTTTACTTAATTTATTAAAATCCCACCTCCATTTTCTTTCTTCTGGACCTTGAACTTTCCACACTGAAACATATGTGTGCAGTTCATGCAATGTGCCCATTGTATGCACATATTTGTGCATATTACCTACCGTGTTTCTCCAAAAATAAGACAGGGTCTTATATTAATTTTTCCTCCAAAAATGCATTAGGGTTTATTTTCAGGAGATTTTTTTTCCATATACAACAAACTATGTTTATTCAAATAGAGTCATATCATCTTCTTCTGGTTGCTGCACAATGGTGGAGAGCGGGGTTTCACTTAACTGGGGCTTATTTTTGGTGTAGGGCTTATATTATGAGCATCCTGAAATCTCATACTAGGGCTTATTTTCAGGTTAGGTCTTATTTTGGGGGAAACAGGGTAATCTGTGAATTTTAGCCATTTGCATTTTAGAATATGCACAATTTTGACAAACATTTAACTTTTCCATTTCCAAGCCTTTTGCCCCACTTTCAAGCTTAATTTCAAATGTACCATTTTGTCTGGTAACAATGGTTTGAATGTGGTAACCACTTTCATGGTTCTGCATATCACAGTAACATATCCCTCCCCTCACAGCTTCAGTGAAACCTTGGAAGGCTGATTCAGAAAGCCACTTCATCCAATAGTACTGGGACTTGGGGTTTGATTTAGCAAGAAAGAGACTGGCAAAGTTTGTTTTCTCATAAAGACCTTAAAATAAAGAGAAAGTATTAGTGATGTATAATCATGGAAGAAGTAATTGTTAACATTCATTGTTCAATGAACCTTCTGCTTCAACCCAGCAATTCTTTGGAAACAGTTCAAAGTCTTATTTTATGATCTGAGCTCAAAAGCATGCTTTTGTTAACATGCTGCATTTTGGTTTCTAAGGAAAACTCCTGGGTTGGGGGCTTTACTAGCTGTATGTGAATCCCTGAAACATTTTCCGTATGTGCATATTTTTTCCTGCTCAGTAGCAGGAACAGTAGCTCATACCTATCACATTTATTCAGGTGCAAGTATAACAGAATTCCATAGAGCAGTAGTTCCAAACTTTAGGTAACCCAGAAGTTCTTGGACTGCAAATCCCAGAAACCCTGGCCAGTGCAGCTGGTGGTGAAGACTTATGGGAATTGCAGTCCGAGAGCACCTGAGTTACCCAAGGCTGGGAACCATTGTTGTAGAGCTGTCTCCCAGCTTAAAGGGTAAAGGATTACTGCCATCTCATGCAATTCCAATCACATTTATGTAGAAGCACCATGTTTATACTCCCTAATAACTGTATCCTATTTGGAAGGGAGTTTTTCTCTCTCTCATTCTTTCTTTTCATTAATAAAATTGAATTCAAGCAGCATTTTCCACAAAGATACCCAAAAAGAGTGGTTCTTATCCTCCAGCTACCCAGACATTTTGGACTCCAACTAACAGAATCCATCACAACTGGCCAAACTAGTTAGTGGTTCTGCAAGGTGAAATCCAGCATGTGTGGAAGATGGAAGGTTCAGAACTAGACATGAAATATTCATGTTCATTTCCCAGGAAATACCAGCACCACAGGTGCCTGGTGAAATGGGGCCCTCCTCTCCAGAAGCAGCCAGTCCACTTACTGCTCGCCATGCAGCACGCACAGCCAGCATCATTCATGGAAATAGCCTGACTGGCGCCATGCAGCACGCACAGCCAGCATCATTCACAATGCGCCAATCATGGAAATAGCCTGACTGGCACTTCTCCACCTTCCTGCACAGCCAACCACTCAGCAGCTGAGCAGGGAGATTTATCATCCCAACCCCTCACTGGAGTGGTCAGCACTGGCAGGTGGGGAAATACCAGCGGGGCTACTTCCACAATTGGTGCAACATGAACAACACCGGCCATGCGCACTGTGCAGTGAGCAGTAAGTGGGGCAGCTGGTTCTGAGGGGAGGGTCACCCCTGGGAGACAAATACAAATATTCCACTGGTTCTGAGGGGAGGGTCACCCCTGGGAGACAAATACAAATACAGTATTCCATATGTATTCAGAACCACTGCTCTAAAATATTGTAGGGTTCAAAGCTAAAAGACGAAGTGTTTGGGACAGGTGACAGATATGAAAGGCTACTGTTTCTGAACTGCCTGGTCTTCTGATATACAGTTATATAATGATGTAGTCTCATTGTAAAGCAAATCAGCAGACGAAACTGACAAGACAGATGGAGATATGAATGTAATGCCGAACAAATGAAGATTAGGGTAGGTAAACTTACGATGAGACTTCTTTCCAGAATAATCACTGAAGATTGACTTAAGAAACAGCTCTTAAGCGCACTCTTAGTAGCCACGATGGCTGCAAGTTTCCAGCTAATGTTAATTAAATGAGGATTTTCAAATATCCCAGCTTGGATTCTCCATCTCACATAGTTACCTTCGCTGTCCTTCCTCTCCATCCTCAGGAGCTTTAAGCTTGCACAGGCTTCCAGCAGCCTCTCAGCTCCAGTACGGCATTCAGCAATAGCCCCTGAGGTCAGGGGTTCTCCTGACCCCAAGAGCAGATCTTACCTTTCCTAACACAGCTTCACAGCAGGCAGAGATTTAATTTTTTTCTTAGAGTTGATTCATTTGGGATTGGGTGACTTGTGTACATCTCCAAGAAATGTCTGAGGCTACCACTACCTAATTTCTTTAAGGAAATATTTGAAGTAACCATCATTGTGCAAAGATCATTATAAATTCTACTTGGTTATTTGAGGAATCTGCAGTTGAAGAAACTCCCTCAAAAAGCAGACATTGCCTGTTCTCAACAAAGGTACATCTTGCTAAACAACTCTTAGGCTTTGTGGTTTCAAAATGTTGTTGAATATTAAAATGCTTTGGGGCTGACCCCTTAACTTCACACAAAGCAAAATATCACCATCACTACTGAAAATCCATTCCCCGAACCCTTGAACAAAACACCGTAATTTCACATTTGCCCAACTTTTTGACATGTTGAACCCATTCAGAGAGTAGGAGGCAACCAAAATATGACAAAAATGTTTATTACAAAATTAAGCAGAAACAAGATGGAACACTTTAAAAAATGTCAAAATATGACTTTTTGGGTGAAATGAAAACCACGTGATTCTCACCAGATTAGTCAGAAACACGTTTTCCTTTACATATAACTTCAAATAAAGGTTGCAAAAAATGACATGTCATAGAAATCCTCACCCTATTCATGACTGAGTCACTACATGGCTAACAAAATTCTGACTGAACACTGACTCTGACCTACATCCTGGTCTGACTAAAAAGACCAGGGAAGGATTCTTGAGTAAAGACTGTCTTCAAACTCTGAAGCAGAGAGGGAACAATTGGTTGCTGCTGGATTGATTGACGTTCACCCCACTCTAGAAAAGGTCCCTCCCAGCCCAAGCCTCTTAAAGGCAGCATACAAAAATTGCAGATCATTCCAACAATCTCTTCCATATGTGGCTGCTTTCATCTGGATGCTCTCCTCTTTCCAGTACTAAAGTATAAAAAGAATAAGAAATCATCAAACAAACAAAGTGAGTGAAATGCTCTGCCCCCTTTTTTTGGCCCAACCTCCTTGGGTTTTGGAAAGGGGTATCCCAAACTCCAAAACCTGAATTTTTATTGGCAGTATCATATAGGATCCCTTTATAAATGTATCTCATCACCCCTGGCCACTAAATGTAGTTCTTGGGTCCCCTTTATTCTGCAAGTTCTTAGAGACTGTTTTTCAGACAAGAAGCAACGTTTTTCTTTTTTTGCACAAATATGCATTTTGGGGTATGACCCCCCTCAAGCTTGTCTTGACATCCCCAAACTATTTAAGGAGTTTTTGGGACCCTGTGACATAACCCATTCTCAGAGGGGCAACCATTTTAGGAAGAAGTTCCCTTTGTGCAGTGTGACCCTTCTATACATTCATCTTAGTGACCTGAACCACTAGAAGTAGATTTCAAGACCTCTTTAAACTACATGTTCCTGGGACAATGGGTTCTTTGGGCAAGCAAAAGTCTTTTTTTAATCTTGCACAAGAATGCACCATCCTTATATTTCCAAACTACACAGAAAGTTTTTGAGACCCTAAGAAAATCACTTTGAGATATGTTCCTTCTGTGCAATCCAGAGAACAGAGAGCTCTGATGTATTATATCATTATTTATTACATTATATAGATAATGTATAATAAATTATTGCATGATTCTATTAAAAACAGGGAAACAATCATTCAAATTAACAAAGTCACATCTAGCTATAGATTCTCTGTCCCTCACTGTCTTCAGAGGAGCCACTCAGGCCTTCTTGGGGAACTATCTGAGTGGCTATGTTTAATAGCACAAGGCAATCTGAACTTCACAGCTCTGGAGAGAGCGAAGGAGGGCCATGGGTCCCAGCCTCCGACCCTTTGGACACCTGGGATTGGTCAGGCTTTACTATAGCCATACTATATATCAGATTTTTTTTTAAAGGGTCTGTGGTAAGTGGCCCTTAAGACTTGGAGCCTAAGATTGCAATTATAAACATGGTTTCCTAAGAGTAACTCCCAGAGTGGAGCTCATATAGAAGATCATACTGCATACTTAGATTCATATAATGCAAGGTTCCTTCTACTTCACTTCAGGAACAGTGGAGATTTTCAGTCATCTAGGTAGGTTATTTGGAAGTTGAGTCAGGGCAACTAGACTTCTTTCTTGTTAGGTTGAAACTAGAGATGGGGATATTCGTATTCATCTACAAATATGAATATCCCCGCACAGGTGGCATTAACGAGGGTCCAGCTCCATGGGGCCAGACAGTCCACTCGCAAATCCACCACAGACGTGGACAGCACGATTCTACCAATGGCTCTGTAGCAAGTGATCTGCTTGCAACTCCTGGCAGGAGGCGGGAGGACAAGCCACTCTGCAAGGTCAAATAGTGGCGAGCTGATCATGCACTCCAGAGCCATTGGAAGAATCATATCATCCACATCCATGGTGGATTGCTAAGTAGACCATCTGGCCCCATGGGGCTGGATCTTTGTTAATGCCATCTGTGTGGGGATATTTGTATTCGTAGATGAATACGAATATGCCCATCTCTAGTTGAAACGTTTCGCTACTCATCCAAGTAGCTTCTTCAGTCTGAGGAGAGTTGGTAGGAGATTCCTTATATAATCTCCATGCTGATTTAATTTCCTCCTGGTCTGAATAGGCTTGTTGGAAGGACAAAGGACTGGGAATGAGGGATAATCCCACTTCTGCAGCTCTTCACCACCGATTGTCAAGGGTTAATTCTTTCTTAACAATAAAGAAGTTCAGTTGCCATGACTCAAGTTTCAGATTCAGGAGCAGTGGTTGTATTAGTAGAACTCCAACTGGTGGTTATTAAAGAATGTGTATAAAGTGTTGGAAATGTTCTGAAATAATGTAGAAGATACACCTCTATATTTGATCCATGCAAAGGACTCAAGTGATTGTTCGTGTGTGCATCTCTTTGAAAGTTTGGGTTAGTCTTCCTGACCTTAGGATCCAGGAGGCTGGGCACAAGGGCAAATGCAAGGTATGTTCTTGTTTCATTTTTAAGGTTTAGAGGCCAATTGTAATGTTTAAAATCAGTTGCTTGTTTGCACATTGAACAGCTCATATCAGCACAATCACACAAACATTCTAATATGCAAGATATGTGTTATGCGATACCTTGGCAGCAACCTTTGTGAACAATAATCTGTGTCTACAGAGAGGTTATACCTCATCTATATTTCTTTCTCTTAATCACTGATTTTCTTCATTTATTTTCCT